CCATTTGTAGTAAAAAGGAATAAATATAGGTGCACATATATGTTCGTAGAATTAACTTTTAAAAGATACACAAGAAACTGGTAACAGTTTTTGCCTCCAGAGGTGAGACTGCAAAGCTATGGGAATAAGGTGGAAGGAAGACTTCATTGTATAACCATCAAATAAATAAGTTAAAATAGGAAAAATAATCCCTTCCTTCCTAGACCTTATGTTATGGTACGTTAGAAGATGATAGGTACTTTGGAGAAAGAAAAAGTAGAGCAGAGTAAAGGAAATCAGGGGAGCCAGCAGAAGGCCAGGTTGTAATATTAAAAAGTATAGTTAGGGCAGTTTTCATTAAGAGATTTGAGGAAACATTTGAAGGAAGTGAAGGAGCAAGCCATGCTGATATCTGGGGTAAGAGTGTTCTGGGAAGAGGATAAAACCAGGGCAAAGGCCCTAAGTGGGAGATGCTTGGTGTGTTCAAAGAACAGCAAAGTAAGGCTGATATTACTGGAATGGGGAGAGTAAGGAGAAAAGTAGTGGGAGATGAGGTCAGAGAGACAAGGGGGCACAGATAATGCGGGTTCTTGTAGACCACTGTAAGGGTTTTGACTTTGACTCTGAGTGAGACGGGCCCATTGTTGGGTATTGAGCAGGGGAGAGACACGATATGACTTGCATTTTAACAGAATCACTTTGACTGCTGTGTTGAGAATAGACTGAAGGGAGACAAGGGTGGAAGCAGGAAAACCAGTTAGGTAACTAATGTAATAATCCAGGCAAGCTATGATGGTGGCTGAGACCAGAATAGTAGCTTTGGAAGTCGTAAAAAGTGGTTGGATGCTTGATATGTCCTGATCAAGATATATCTTGAATATAGAACCTCACAGTTTGGATGTGGAGTTTAAGAGAAAGAATGAAATAAAGGGATTACTTCATAGTTTTTGTAACTTTTTTTTTTTGACTTCATGGTTTTTGATCTGAGAAACTGAGATGGGGAAAGAAACAAGTTGGAATATGTAGAGTAGTTAAGAAGTTGTTTTTGGACATGTTGAGTTTGAGATGTCTGGTAAATAATCTACTGGAAATGTCAAGAAAGTTGTTAGAAATACAAGTCTGAAAGGCAGGTGAGAGGCCAAGGGTGTAGCTCTGAATTTGGGAGTTATCAACATATAGATGGTAAATCCAAGGGATGAGATGAGATCACCAATAGAGTGAATACAAAGAAGAGGAAAGGACCAAGGACTGAGCCTGGAACACTCCAACATTTAGAGATTATGGAAAAAGGAGGAGCCAGCAAAAGAAACTGAAAATAAGTGACACTGAGGTAGGAGGAAATCCAGAAGAGTGATATTCTGGCAGAGACTCATCTTCCAGGTATCTGTTTTACAGGAGTGTGGGTATAAATCCATTCTTGTTGCCTTCCTTTCGTCTGATCCCATCTGCATGTAGATAACTTATCTATTTGATGCAGGGTTTTCTCTTTGTTTATGTTCTTTGGTGATTTCAGTAGGGATCTGGTAGTGGAAAGCGTAGTTAGGGGCCTGTGGTCACATATGCAAGTCCCACATTCTTTATTAACAACATCCCTAATTAGCAGCTGGGCACTTTAACCACTGCACCACCAGGGCTTCTAATGACTGCTAGTGTTTTCTGTATTCCAGGTACTATTCTAAGTGCTTTACTTGCATTAACGCGTATAACCTTCTCAGCAGTCGTATGAAATAGGTTGTATTATTGGCCTCATTGTATAGATGAGGAAACTGAGGCACAGAGGGGATAAGTAACTTGTTTAATGCCACACAGCTAATAAGTGGTGGAGTAGGAATTTAAATGTAGACAATCTGACTCCAGAGCAGCTTTTAACCAGTACCTGTCCTGCCTTTATGGAAACCTGGTGGCGTAGTGGTTAAGCGCTACGGCTGCTAACCAAAAGGTTGGCAGTTCGACTCCAGCAGGCCTTCCTTGGAAGCTCTATGGGGCAGTTCTCCTCTGTCCTGTAGGGTTGCTATGAGTCAGAATCAACTCAATGGCAACAGGTTTGGTTGTTT